TTTGACTCCTTTTCTCTTTTCTCCTGGCACCAGCTGCATTTTGCCCTCAATTCCTGACCGTCCGCCACATCCAGTTTTCTTAATTAGAAAAAAAACTGTATTTTTTGTTTGTTCACGAGGATTTTTTTCTTTTCTAAATAATCCATATTTATTTTATCCTCCTTAACTTCTTCCTCTTGATTTCCTCAAGTTTATTTTTCAGAAGTCAGTGTTCTCAGTGTGATTTTCTAAATGATCTAGCATTTCAGTCTCGACTTTCTCTTTGACCCCAGAGTTAGAGGATTCTAACCTTTGCAGGTAGTTAACCTTTTGTCATTAATTACAGGTGTTTTCTCTCTCTCTCTCTCTCTTTTTTTTTTTTTGCTGGTGGAGTGAGGTGTGGTGGGCAGGCTATTTGTGTTTGGGAATGTTTAGGAAACACTTGTTTATTTGACCTGAATTGACTATCACCACCTGTGTGAGAGCATTACGTTGAACTCCATGGGAAACACAGAGGTAGGTCAGAAACTGTTGTAGAGAATTAAGTCCCAGTTACTTGCTTTACTGTCTAGTGCTTTCAGTTTTCTTTTCTTTGTTTTTTAATTGAGATATAATTGACATGGAACATTGCGTTACTGTTAGATGTAAACATGATGATTTGATTCATGTATATCTTGCAAAATGATCACCACGATAAGTTTAGTTAACACCCATCACATAGTTACATGTTTTTTCCTTGTGATGAGAAATTTTAAGATCTACTCTTCGCAATGCTCAAATATATAATTACTAGAATATTAATTACTAGTAATAACTAGTTTTTACTGCATTGCAGCTAGATATTGTGGTCTGTACAATTTCTACTTTTGAACTGTATGGCACTTTTAAAAATAATTTATCTTCAGGACACCTGGGTGGTTCAGTCGTTGGGCATCTGCCTTTGGCTTGGGTCATGATCCCGGGGTCCTGAGATCGAGCCCCGCATCGGGCTCCCTTTTCTGTGGGAAACCTGCTTCTCCCTCTCCCACTCCCCCTGCTTGTGTTCCCTCTCTCGCTGTGTCTTGAAGGAACACAAGCAGGGGGAGTAAGAAAAAAATAAGTTGGACTTTATCAAAATTAAAAACTTTTGGGGCACCTGGGTGGTTCAGTCAGTTAAGTGTCCAATTCTTGGTTTCAGCTCAGGTCATGATCTCAGGGTGGGCGGGGAGTCTGCCTGTCTCCCTCTCTCTCTGCCCCTCCCCCCCTTTCTCTCTCAAATAATCTTAAAAAAAAACACTTGGGGCACCTGGGTGGCTCAGTCATTGAGCGTCTGCCTTCAGCTCGGGTCATGATCCCAGGGTCCTGGAATCAAGCCCTGCATCGGGCTCCCTGCTCGGCGGGAAGCCTGCTTCTCCCTCTCCCACTCTCCCTGCTTGTGTTCCCTCTCTCGCTGTGTCTCTCTCTGTCAAATAAATATAATCTTAAAACAAACAAACAAACAAACAAACAAACACTTTGTACTTCAAAGGGTAATACCAACAGAATGAAAAGGCAACCTATAAAATAGGAGAAAATATTTGTAAATCATATATCTGATAATTGATTCATATCTGGAATACATAATAAACTCTTACAACTCAACAACAAAAACCAAATGATCCAATTCAAAAATGGGCAAAGAACTTGAATAGACATTTCTCCACAGAAGATCTCCAAATGGCCAAAAAGCACATGAAAAGATGCTCAGCATCGCTAAGCACTAGAGAAATGCAAATCAAAACTCTGAGATAATGCTGGGCACCCAATAGGACAGCTATTATAAAAAAAATAAAGAAAGTAACAAGTGTAGATAAGGATGTACACAAATTGGAATCCTTGTGCTTTGCTGGTGGGGATATCAAAATGGTACAGCTGCTGTGGAAAATTCTCAAAAAATTAAACAAGGAATGGTCCAAATAATTCAGCCATCCTACCTCCGGGTGTATACTCAGAGGAACTGAAAGCAGGAACTTGAATATTTGTACACCCGTGTTCATAGCAGCGTTATTCACTATAGCCAAAAGGTAGAAACAACCCCAGGTTCATCAACAGATGAACAGATAAATAAAATGTGGTATGTTCATAAAATGGAATACTACTTAGCCTTCAAAAGGAAGGAGATTCTGACACAGGCCACACAATAGATGAGCCTTGGGAACATCGTGCCAGGTGAGATAGGCCAGTTACAAAAGGAAAAATACTGTATGAGGTACCCTGAGAGGTCAAATTCAGAGACAGAAACTGGGATGGGGGTTGCCTTGGGCTGGGGGGAGGGGGAATGGGGACAGAGTTTCAGTTTGGGAAGATGGAAAGTTCTGGAGATTGATGGTGCTGATGGTTACACAACAATGCAAACATACTTAATGTCCCTGAACCCTACATTTAAAAATGGCTAAAATGCTAAATTTTACGCTATGTATATTTTACCACAATAAAAAAGTAAATACCGAGCCCTAAAATTAAGTTAATTTCTCTCTACAAGTCTTCCATGTCACCTTCTGCCTATGAGATGTGACCAAGAGAGAAGGAGTTAAAGTTTCTAAGATCAATGTGATATTTGCATTTTTCTTGTTCCTTGGACAGTTTTTATTTTAAATAAATTGACATCATACTATTCAAGACCTAAGGGTTTGTGGCTGTTATTTCTTCCTTTTTTTTTTTTTTTTTATAAATGCCAAATAAACCTTTGTTTCATTTACTCTTTTCCCCTTGAATTCTACTTGGTATGGCACATTTATCCCTCTGCTTTCTTTCTTGGCTTGTCTTTCATTTACTGCCTCAACTGCGTGCCAGGTGCCCTTGTAGGTGCTGGGGACCTAGCAGGGAACAAAATAGACCAAATCTTTACCCTTCTGAAGTTACGTTCTTGTGCAGGGAGGAAGGAAGTAAAAAAAGATCAGTATGAAAATATAGTACAGTGTTTTTGATCTTTTCTATTTAAAGTGTCCTCCACAGATTCACGGGCAGAAGGGCAGCCGCAACACGATGGGGGAACCTGTTAGAAACTCGGGGACCCATCCTGAGCCAGCTGAGTGCGCACTTGTGGCAAGATGCCCAGGGGATTCACAGGCGGCTTCAGGTTTGAGAAGCACTGCCTAGCCCCTGCTGAGTGCTAGGGTTTTAGGAAAATTAGGCAGGGAAGGGGATGATGTGGGAAACAGAGGGGCAAAAGAGAAATTAAATTTCCTTACTACCTACAGCCCATTGACAAGTCCTTGACACAGGCAGAGTGACATTTCTCTAGGGACTCAACTGCCTCAATGCTAATACTTCGCTAAGGGCAAAAGGCAATCTTAGCTTAACATTACCCCGACACCCCCAGGATCCTGTAAGTCTTCTTTAACATATAAAAGTTCCTTTGGAAACTTCCTTTATCTCTACCCGCCTCCCCCCGCCCCCGCAAATATGTGTTGGCAATCATCTTCCAAGCAAATGGCCCACTCATACACATCTGAAGGGTCTCATGACTCAGGTTTTATTAGACAGCAATAAATGACCTTTTCCCAACAACAGCTAGCCCCCTCAAGGTCCTGGAAACCTTGCTTCCAAAATTCCTTAGAGACTTACACTATCCCTAACCCCCTCCCAACTTGAAAGTAGGTAACCAGCCACTCTTCCTGACCCCAGTGCTTTCTGCCCACAGGTCCTGTCCCCCCTGCTTTAATTAAAGCACCTTTTTGCACCAAAGATGTCTCAAGAATTCTTTCTTGGCCATCGGCTCCAAACTCCAACCTTTCCTACATCAGGGGTCAGGGAGGCCTCACTGGGAAGGAGTCCTTGGGGTACCAGCGGTGAGCTCGGCAGATACCTGGAGGAAGAAGCTACAGCTAATGGTAAGGCCCCGGGGGAACCGGGAGCTGGCGAAGCAGCATCCGGTTGCAAGCACTCACGCTCAGTAAGTCTTTATTCCAGGCCCTCTGCTTTGGGTGTGTTGGGGCGCTGGTTCCAACGCTGTAATTTGAGCGGGCGCCAATTAGCCAGGCCCCTAGATGCGCCAGGCACCCTGCCCGGTGCTTACTTGGGGGCACTCGCAAATAAAGCGTTATTTGCCTAGAGTTTCTGCCATTCTGTCTAAAGCTTTTCTTTGAGTTTCCTTTTCAGATGCAAATTCTCCCCTTACATCAGTCAGGCTTGTAGCAGAAGAGACCACAAAGTAACCCTCTGAATTTACTCCTTTCTCTTGGCTTCCTCTATCTTAACGTCTTCTGTAAACTCCGTCCCTCTCCCCAGCAGCTTCCCGTTTTTCCAAGCCCCAACCGTCGACACTCTTAAAAGAGTAGACCAGGCAAGTGTATCTCAGCCCGAAATCGGGGCTGACCGAGACGATCACTCCGTGCTTCAACTTGTCCTCGGTTTCCGAGGGGCGGTGGAGCGCGGCCTGGGCCGGCACCTGACCCAAGCGGGCCCCGCCGCCCAGTCTGGGACCTGGGGCGCATTCCTTTACCTCTCCCAGTTTTCATCTCCTCCCCGCCAGCCTCCCTGGGTTGTTTTGAAGCCCAAGTGAGATCATTCATAGAAAAGCATTTTGTAGGTCATAAAGTGCTAAAGGTAACACACACGACAGTGGCAGCGCCACGACTACAGCCAAATGACTGGCGGCGCGCCCCTCATGCCCCCCCCCATCGTCTGGTTTCTTCCGCCCCGCAGCCGCACTCGCGCACGCTGACTGCACACACTGTCCAGGATTCCGCGTCTGGGGCCACAGGTTTCCCCCGGGGGCACGGGCCGGATGCGGAGGAGAGCACTGATTGGCTGCGGAGGAGGTGGGCCGAGCGGTGACGCGCGGCGCCTGGAGACTGCGCCGCGGGGTGCGCGGGGGGGACGGGGCGGGGCGGGGCAGGAAGGGCGCGGAAGCGCAGAGAGGAGGGGTGGGACCAGGGGGGCAGGGAGGGAGGGAGAGGAGGGGGAGGGGCGGAGGGAGGCAGAGCCGGAGAGGTAAGGGGCGGGGGCGGGGAGGGGGACAGGCTAGGGTGGGACGGGGGGGCTGGGGCGTGGAGGGAGGTGGGAGGGGACGAGGGCGAAAGCGGTTTTTGCGCCGCCGGGTGGAGGCCTGGTGTCAGCGCCCAGGGCCGCGTCGCCCTTCCCGCGGAAGACAGTGGCCCTGGAGAATCATTACTGGCCCATCAGGGGAAGGGACGGGGCCGGCGGCGCGGGAGGGGTCGGTCCAGGGCCGCCTAGGGCCCGCGACGGGCGTACCCGCGCCCGCTGAGCCTTGGCTCTCGCAGTGTCGCCACGCCCAGGAGGTTTCCGGTCACAGCACGTTTCTGGGCATTTCAGTGCTTCCCAGGCTGTTCTCCAGCCGCCGCCCTTCCCTCCTTCGGCTGCTGGACCCCGCGCCCGAGGGAGGGGGGACGTCGGGGTCGTGTCCCTTGGTGCTTGCTGGCGGGTCGGAGGGGTGGGGGGCACTTAGCGACCCCTAGCGGGATCTACTGTGCGCCCGGTGCGGTGCGGGTGAGTGCGATGGGGACTGGATTACAGGCAACCAGGAGGACCCCGAGCGAGGGGCAGCTATAGGGGGTCATTGAAGGGGGTCTGATCATGAGACGTGTAAGCTCCAGGGCAGAGGAGGCGTGGGCCTTGGGGGCGATCTGGCTGGTGGAGAGGTGGGTGCCCCAGGCCGAGGGAGAGATGTGATGGAGGCAGGGACATGACTTGCTGGGGTCAAGGACTGGAGGAGTGGGAGGGGAGCTGGAGGTTCCAGGTCAGTCCAGTGCCCTGCAGAGCCTGCCTGGTGCCAGGTGACGCCCCCACACTTGGCAGTGTGACTTGGCAAAGGTAGCCTTTGTGAGGCATGGTGTCCTCCGTGTCCTCGTGAGTAGGTGGGACCATAGCTCGCTGTTGGGAGGATTTGTAAGACATGCACATGAAATTGTGCCTTTCCCAGCATCGCATAGCTTAATAAACTTAGCCCTTTCCCTTCTGGAAGGAGAAGGAAGTCAGCTTGTGAGGCTTCTATGGACACCAGGAACACAGCTAAGAGCCAGAGTCCAACAGAATCGCTGAGAGTCCTCCAGAATAGGTGGCTGGCCCAGCGGGCCGTCTGTTTCTGGAATGCGCATCCCCTTACGGGCCGGGTCTGCATTAAGGCCAGGGTCTCAACTTGTTTATTCTTTTTAAGAATTCTTACACATCACAACAGAGGGAACTTGCTGAACCGACCGCATCAGCATGGACACACACACACAAAGACACACATTTGATGACATTCCCTCTCTCAAAGGAACACACAACCACCCAGGTTATCCTCAGCCAGAATTCCTCGATTTGCAACTCTGTGTTGGGTTTGGGATTCTGGCTTTAATGGTAGAGATCCAACAGGGTCTGAGAGGTGGGACCCCGGCACTGCTACAGCAGAGCCCTAGGCAAAACCCCAGGCACCAGCGAGGGGCGCTGTTGGTGATACAGCGCAGAGCGGAGGAGATACGTGCCCGAAGTCACACAACTTGTGGGTTGCGCTTTGTGGGATTTTGACCCTGATGAGTCACTGGAGTGTTGAGAATGCCCTGGTAAATCATTTCCATGACTCAGTATCACCACCTAAGAGTTAGGGGCAAGGATACTGGCCGGATAGCTTCCCTTAGGGTAGGAACTGTCTTAAATGGCTCCTCCCACCTTAAGACGGTTGGTGGATGGGACTGTCATTTTTGAGGGATGGTGTGGGTGCAGCCTTCCAGTGAGTTCAGGGCCCTGGCATGGCTGAGGCAACACGGAGGAGCCAGGAGAAGCCTGTTGGGGACAGTGGTACAACCCCCCCCTCAAAGGGAGGGGAGGAGGAAGGCTGGAGAGGTGGAGCAGATTTGGTGGAGAGAGACATCATGACACTGGGGTTCCCAGTGTCCTCTTCCCAGGGGCAGAGCATGGCTGTGTGAATGCCTGGATGCTGGCCAGGACAGGGGAAGCCTCCCTTTGTAACAAATGTGGACTCTGATTTAGGAAGTAGTTTGCTTGGTGGCATAGTCAGGGCTGAGCCACATTAAATGCAAACAGGTGTGCACCTTCTTCCTGCCTGAGGACAGCCGTCCCCTGAACCCTCCGGAACCTGGCCTCTGCCTCGTTTCCTTCTCCAGGTGGGCCCTGCTCTGACAAAAGGCTCATTCTTGGAGCTCTTCCTTAGGGCTTTACAGAATGCCATGCCGAGCGGGCTTTGCTGATGTCAGCTTTTAAATGTCATTGAAACATCCCAGTGAGCCCTAGCGACAGCACTGGCTGGTGAGACCCCTCTTCATTCTGGCCTGGCTGTTGTCTTCCCGCCCCTTTGTCCTCTCAGCATTATGCTGCCCCTCTCCTCAGCAAGCTCATTTATATCTTTTTACCTTTAATTAAACACCCTCATATACACACCCAGAATATTCTCTTCCATCTCGGTCAGTCCTTCCCATCCTCAAGGACTAGGGCCAGCTGCACCATCTTCCGTCCTTCCCTGGCAGCTCCAGCCTGGCTCTGGGAACTGATATTCAGAGCCCCTTCACACACTTGTATGCGATCCTGAGGTGCCTGCCATTGTGTTGTGTTTATGAATTGTAATTTTTCGTCTGGAGTGTAGGTTTCCTGGTGGCAGAGGGGCTCCCGGATATGTCTTCGTATTCCTGCGGCACCGAAAGTGATGCTGAATGTGTTTCAGGCTCTCACTAAATACTTCCTGGTATAACTGGTAGGTTGTATTCATTTCCTTCTCCCCGTCCTGGGGCTCTGGGCCATGCGCGGCTTGGAAGATGAGGCAGGTTCTTGGTAAGATGAAGAAAAGGGGTACACGAACGCTCCAGGGCCTTGCTAGGAAAAGCACTCAGCTTTGGCAGCGTTTTCGTTATCCTCCCAGTGTAACAACCTCCTACCCTCAAAACTTAGTGGCTTAAAACCAACCGTTTGTTTGCTCATGAACCTGCCAGCCGGGCTGGGCTCAGGCAGGCGCTTTTGCTGCCCATTCTTGCCTGGGGTTGCTTGGGTGGCTGCAGTCGGAGGGGAGCCCATCGGCACGGGACCAAGGTGGCCTCCCTCACGAGGCTGCAGTCAGTGCTGGCCCTCAGCTGGTGCGCCTCAGTTCTCCATGGAGCCCCTCAACCTTTCCGTGGCCAGGCCAATTCTTAACAGCATGGCTGCTTGGTTCTGAGAGGCCTTTCTTGCCAAGGCCTTGGAGTCACTCGGTGTCACTTCTGCATTCTATTGTCTAAAAGAGTCACAGGGCCAGCCAGGACTCTGGGAGGGACGTGGACCCCATCTCTTGATAGGAGGAGTGGAGAGAGTTACACTGCAAAAAGGCATGCGGGATGGGAGGGATGGTTGTGGCTGTTTTTAAAACCATGCTACCTCATCAAGAGAGGCAGGTCTTTTAGAAATGTCCTGTGCCACAGCCCGGGAGGGCCTATTTCCCTGGACATGACACCCCCCTGCACCCCTGCCCTCTTAGCTCAGCAGACCCGCTCCCCTCCAGCGCCGCCTGAGCCGGAGCCTCGTGATTCTGGGGAGAGGGAGGCTCCACAGGGGATGAGGAAAGGAAGAGAGCTGAGAGAGGGGCTGCCGATGCCCACCTGGAGCGGTCTGGTGCCCACGTGATCCAGAGGAAAAGTGAGCAACTGGTGGGTGCCGTCCTGTGGTCTCTGTCAGACTAGGACCACTTTCTTTCGGACAGTCGCGTTTACCTTCCGGCTTTCCACCCACAAGGGGCACAGGTTCAAAAAGTATCTTCGTGGATGTTAAGAATTTCCCTCTAATAGAAAATCCAGAAGAGCTATGTGTTTAAATGGTTGCTCGAGGCTTTTCAGGACGAAAAAAAAAACCCATTGTCTCTCATCCCGATGCTTACTGAGCATCAGAAAGTGAAGCTGTTAGGTGTAGCTGTGTGCTTCCAAGCCCCGTCGGTGGTGGAGAGGGCCCTTCTGAGCAGGCGCAACCCCTCCTTGTCACCGCAGGGCCCCTGCATCATTGGTCCTTCCCTGTGTCTGCAGCCTTCTGGGCCCGGGCCCGTCTGGCCTTAGTCCTCAGGTGGGAAGGGCCAGATCCTTCTAGGGGCCCAGACGCAGCTCAGCTACCTCTGGAGTAAGATCTGGAGCAGCCCAGGAAGCTGTGATGCCGCCAAGGACCTGGGCGCCTGGGTGGCTCAGTCGGTGAAGCGTCTGCCTTCGGCTCAGGTCATGATCCCTGGGTCCTGGGATCGAGCCCCGCTGGCCTTAGTCCTCAGGTGGGAAGGGCCAGATCCTTCTAGGGGCCCAGACGCAGCTCAGCTACCTCTGGAGTAAGATCTGGAGCAGCCCAGGAACCAAGGACCTGGGCGCCTGGGTGGCTCAGTCGGTGAAGCGTCTGCCTTCGGCTCAGGTCATGATCCCTGGGTCCTGGGATCGAGCCCCGCGTTGGGCTCCCTGCTCAGCGGGGAGTCTGCTTCTCCCTCTCCCTCTCCCTCTGCCCCAACCCCCACTCATGCTCGATCTCTCTTGAATAAATACTGCCAAGTGCCAAGAAGTGTGCCCTCCCTGGCTCAAGAAGCAAAGGAAATAATGCCATCAGTCTCAGCGACTGAGTGGACCGTGAGAAGTTTAGAAGGGTCACCAGATGGAAACACCTGTGCCAACGTTGACCGCCTGCAGCGTGCAGGGCCCTGAGCTGAGTGGCGCCTGGGGCAGGCCAACCAAGGGGGAAAGGGCCTGACTGTGTTCCTGTTCCACGGGGGGGCCATACAGGCCATGTACACGTGGCCCTTCTGCTCTTGCTTCTGCTATGTTGCATGCAATACACGGGCCACTACATGGAGAGTACTATGTGCTTTCACATTTAGTATCCAGGCCAGCGCTGGGCGCGTGGGGACTGAAGGCGAACGAGAAAGCTGGGCCTAGAAATGAATACACAGCAGCACTGTTGAGTATGTGACATCCAGGGGTCGCTTCTGTTGTTGCTCTAGAGTTTGTGATGAGCGGCGCCTTCCCCCACCTCTGCCGAGAGGAACCACTGCTCCTAGGGCAAGTGGCCGGAGCGAGAGAGGACAAAAGGGGCCTATAATATTCTATTATTATTATTTTTAGATTTTATTTGAGAGAGAGAGAGAGAGATAGTGCACCAGCCTGAGTGGTGGGGAGAGGCAGAGGGAGAGGGATAAGCAGACTACCCACTGAGCAGAGAGCCTGATGCAGGGCTTGATCCCAGGACCCCGGGATCATGACCTGAGCTGAAGGCTTAACCGACAGCCACCCAGGCGCCCCAATATTCTGTTATTATAAGGAAGTGCTCAGAGATCGATGGGGACATTTCAGAAGACACAAGAGCCAGCTGAATGGGGCTCCCACCCCCAGGCCGCCTCCCCACGCCAGAAGGGACTGTCTTACAGAGGAGTGAATGAACAATTTAGAGCTGGAAAACTTGGTTCCTATTTTTTTTTTTTAAGATTATTTGACAAAGAAAGAAAGCGAGAGAGGGCACACAAGCAGGGGGAGTGGGAGAAGGAGAAGCAGTCTTCCCACTGAGCAGGGAGGCCGATGCAGGGTTCAATCCCAGGACCCTGGGATCATGACCTGAGCCGAAGGCAGCCGCTTAACCGACTGAACCGCCCAGGCGCCCCTGGAGAACTTGGTTTCTAGACCTGGATTTGAATCCTGCCTCTGACTAGTTAGGTGACCTTGGATATATTAATTCATCTTAAAAAGAAAAAAAAAACCTACATAAAGGTTGCAAGTAAAACAAAAATTCGTTTTTTTCTCCGCTGCGCCTTTGAGAGTAAGTTGCTGTGCTGCATCATGCCCATGCCTTGGCATGTCCTTCCCACAAATAAAAACCTTCCACTTGTGTGGGACACAGCCATCAAAGTCAGGAAATTAACATTAATACCTTACTACCGTCCAATCTTTAGGCTGGAGAGTTATCCTTTGTGCCAGTAATGTTGTTTATAGCAAAGGATCTAACCCGGGGTCACATGTTGCATTTGACTCTACGTGGAACTGCTTTTCAGCCTGGAACTGCAGAAGCTTAAAACGTGCGTGGATTACACGTCAGTTGTCTTGTGGAATGTCCTCAGTTTGGGTTTGTCTGGTGTTTCCTCTTCATTGGATTCAGACTATGGATCCTTGGCAGGAACATCACACAAGTGAATGTGTTGTTTTCACTTTGACCTCTCAGGCTGCTCCTGATTTCAATTTTAACAGTTACTGGAATGATTCCTTTTGCCATTTGATTAAGATGGTGCCTGCCAACCTCTCTCCACTGTAAAGTTTCTTTTTCTATTGCAATTATTACTTATTTTGTGGGGAGGTCGTTTGAAACCTGTTCTTCATGAGACTTAAGTTCACTTATTTACTTACATGACTATGGAATCATGGGTTCCTGTGTTGTTCAATAGGCTATAGTCCATTACTACAGTTTTGTTTTGTTTTTATTTTAATATTCAAATTGTCCTCTGCTGGGCCAGTGGAAGCCTCTCTGAGCTGGTTCCTCTGTCCTTTTGAGATGTCCCTGTCCATCTTTGAGCACGTCCTTATACAAATAGCAAACGAATATTCTAGTCCTCTCTTGGCCATTTGTCCCGGTAGCACTAGTTCTTTATAGCAGAGAACTCAGAAACCAAGGTTAGGGTGCGCTTGTTACAGTTGGGGTGCTGTGGCTCCCAGGCCCTCTCAGTGGACAGAGCTAGGGAGATCCGTGAAGATACATTCATATATTTACATCTATACATATATATTTATTTCTGTGTCTGCTGGACTGTTGAACACAGTGACCTCACACCAAGAGCTCAATGCCCGTCTAGCACCACAGAATTCATTCCAGTTGCCTCCCTTTACTTAGTTGTGACTCTTCAACAGAGGCACATCTGGCTTACGTTGTGTGTCATATGACTACCTATTGATTGCTCCCCTCCCCGTAACCAGTCTCCCATTGTCACTGTATCCCTCCCCCATGTGGATGCCGTCCTTCCCCAGCTTGGGCTCCAGCACCCCTCTCCCACCCGCAGTCCCCTTCCTCACCCTGCGCAGGATCTCATACCCGTGCTGCCCATGGGGACTCCATCCTCCATCTGCTCAGGTTCTGCCACCCTCCCCCCCGACGGGGGCACCCTCCCACACCACCGTTGGCTCTCTTCACCCTGTTCAGGGCCTCATACCCCACACCGAGTCCCCCCCTATACCAAGAAGCCCTTCTACCCTCACGCAGACATGCAGACATGTTCTTCAACCGCTTGGGGGTAAAGTGGGGGCTCTGACACCCCAGTCTCGACCCCTTACCACCCACTGTGTGGACACAGTGGTGTTAGGACTGAGTTCTTCAGGAAAGGAAGGAAGGAGGAAGAGCCACATGTTAGATGTTAAGTCTCAGATTCCTCATCAGTAAAATGAGCAGAATAATGGCTCCCACCTAATATGGTTGCCGCGAGAACCACAGGAGGTAACGTATGTGAGGTGCCTCCTCAGCACAGGGCCTGGCTTGTGGTGGCCACTCACTGTCAACTGCCATCATTGTTACTATACATTAACATTTTCATTTTGTACTGCGTCGTTTGGCAGGGACACATTAGAGACGCACAGAGAGAAGACACAGGAGGAGCGGGTGCGAATGGCAGATACATCAAGAGAGGACTAATGCCGCTTTCTTAAGAGAATGGAGACACTCATTAATGTCATCTGAGTTAAAATACATAAGTAAGGGGAAAACACCGGGAGGAAACATGTTAATGTGTTAAGAGTGATGATCTTTTTTTGGTGGGCTTATGTGACTTAAAGTTTTTTAATGTGTTTTCCAAAATATAGTCAATAAATATTATTCAAACTTAGAAAAAAATTATTTTAGGATGACTCTAGTTAATGTCAACATAACTAATTGAAAACTGCTTTCAGCCTGAGTGGTTGGTTGTGTTTTTTTTTCCTTCTGCCTGGTAGGTTCTGGGGAAGAGCGCCTGGATTCGGATCCTGGCTCTTCCATTTCCCAGCTACATGACTATGGGCAAGTTCATTAACTTCTTTGTGCCTTTTTGTTTGTTTTATAAAGTGAAGGATCTT